ATGAGTTTTTTTTTTTTATTACATGTAATAAAAAAAATTAAATTTTGTATGAGTTTCTCCAATTTGTAACCGATTACCGATTGAACTAAACCAGAGATAAAATGTTTATTTAGATTAAGGGAGTATTAATGAATTTAGATTTTTTTTTTTTGTCACGAGTATTGAATTTAGATGGATTTATATAGTTTGTGTTATTTTACGCTACAAAAAAAATTAGTACAAGTGGCGGTTAGACCAAAATTTTGTATATATCTACTATGTTTTTAGAGAAGTAACTTTTGGTCACATTAAAAATGTTGAGATGGTTTATTACAAGATTACTTTCAATGAATTGATTTATTTAAAAAAATGAAAGACAAACTTACTTTAAAAATTACAAATTAAAACGAATTTGAAAAAATGAACCAAAAAAGGAAATATATATATAAGAAACACAAAATAAGAAGTTCCGTGTTTGACATTAACAAAAACAATTTCATTTTGACTTATTGCATTGCTCTAGCTTTTCCTTGTGCGAATGAATGATTCAGTCGGGTTTGTAATTTGGAAATTCATGATTTGGAATTTTTTGATGACTATTTCCTCTTGTCAACAGGACATACAAAATGCAGGAACAGATGTTGCAAAACCAATTATCAATTTCGTGACTTTGATGAAGAAAAATGTATCACTATGGATATGATTCTGTTTAGAATACCAATTATCATAGAAAGAATGACCTGTGATCTTTTGGTTCACCAACTAGGAAGTTTATGTCTTTTCAGGACTATCACTAAATGCGTTGCTGCCGAGTATATTCCCATAGAGCAATGGCGCCGCTAACGTGAACGTTGAGGGACCTAACAACTCCAAGTTGTGGGATTTCGATACAAGCGTCCAGTACATGGATTATATCCACTGGTATGCCTTCCTTTTCGCGACCAAGGACCAAAACCTTTACAAACAAAGAGATCCGTTTAGTTACATGGACAAAAAGACGCAAGTGAGAGCAAAAGAAAACCTTTCTTCTTGATCTTGTTTTGTCAGTCCATCAACTTACCGTCTTCTTTGGGAACTGATATTTGTCCAGTGAAATGCTGTTAGCTGTCTGTTCCAGTCCCAAGATCGAGAAGCCTTCTCGTTTCTTTTTCTCCAAGAACAGTTTCAAACTATTCACCGGGACTTCCATGATTGGAACCCATTTCTCAGCAGTCACGCTGAAGAAAGAAGAAAAGAACCTTTCGTAAATGATCAGAGATTTTTGTATTCTAAGCAGATCCAACCGCATGAACTAGCACCATCCTTCGATGATACAAAATTGACTAGAATATAAATACCTGATTAGTTGGAACTGTTTGTCGTGTATTATGTTTGCATCCGCAACAACAAGACCTGATGCTTTAAATATCTGGAACATATGCAGAGAGGGTTAAGTTAACACTGAACTAGATACAGGAACTACTAGCCTCCTAATTGTTTACAGAAATGGTAAGCAAAGAATATGAATGCAACAAATATACCTCGCATGTTCGGGCTAATCCAGCAAGATTAGGAATACGATCAAGCAATGAAGCCACTAGTATCAAACTCTGCCGACCAGATTTCAACCTTTCGACCTCCATGCTTCTAGATCGTAAGAGCTGGCTCACGAGCTCGTCTTCCTTTTCCATTTCTGAAAAGTTACCAGAGTTGGTATGTCACAGAGAGGCTGTACATAATCTTGAGAAATAGACAGCGATATAACATTTTCCTACCAAAGAGCCGCTTGTAAGTTTCCCCATTTTGGAGCACAGAAGTTGAGCTAGCATCTTGCTTCTCAAGTTTGGATAGAGTAATTTTTTTCTGGAAATCTAATGACGATGGCTCGGAAAGCCTTTCTTCAATGGGTCTGGACATGACCAACGGACGGTTAGACTCTTCTTCTATCTTGAAGCCTTCATTCTTAATGGTAACTATGTCCTTTGCCATGGAAGCACGGAGATCTTCCCTAACATCCTGCAAGACTTGAAGATAAGACAGAGAGACAGAAACAAAACAAAAAAACATACATAGATATGTTTATTTGCTTACATTCAGAAAAGAAAGCACGTTATCCATGAGGCATGTTGGTACACATTCAAACTCACTTTCCTGCACAACCACCAAGAAATTATCTTAAAATAAAATGGCAATGAGATTTGAAAGCAACTTTGTCAAATTAAAACTACAAAATGTCAAAGGATCGGTAGGAACCACATTAAAATAATCTAAACAATGTTTACTTGGCAGTTTGTTATATCTCTAAATGTTTTGATTCAGGTATTGTGCAGTAACCAATTGAAGATTGCATTGGTTACCTCAACACGATTGACAAAAACACCAGCCGGAGTAGCAGATGTGCTGGGATCATAGGCATCAAGATATCCTTCCATTGATGATCGCAATCTAGACCAGGAGAGAAATTTTCACAATTGTTATTTTGTAATAAACAAAAACTGGCTAGACAGCTTTGTCCGCAAAAGTACGATCGTTTCTGAACAATATGAAAAATTCTAATCATAAGAACAACACACCTCGAACAATCAGGATTCTTGTCCAGGTATGACTTCAAATTCTCAAAAGAAAGTTCCTCCAACGATTTTGTCTGAGAGGATGTTGCTTCCACAGGTGGAAACAGTCTAAAGAGTACTCGGTGCACTAATAACTGCCGCACCGGAAAAGAAAATGGAATAAGCTTGATATAAAATTTAAGGCCAACATCCATTAATAGAAGATACAGATAGCATATGTACAAGACCAACCTGAGTGAAACCACGTAAGCTGTGATGATGAGAAGTTAATAATGGTATTATTGGTGGAAGAAGTTCTCTCAAATGTATCTGTTGAGCTATCTTTTCAGCATGAAGGATGACATTGGCTGCAATGAAGACATAGGACGAGAGAGCTTGCTGCATACGCACAAAAGAACATCTATCAATCTATTGCAATGAAAACTTAAAAAAAAAAAAATTCATTTTTAGTAGAACGTTTAAAGTGTATTTTTCACATGATTTACCTGAGCTTTAGTGTCATAATTTTTTAGAATAGGAACTAACTGCTCTTTAACCTGTGATACAACAACCAATTAGTGGTTACTATGGGGGAAAACGCAGAAAATCTATAATAACATATCCCATTACAAAATGTAAGATGGAAACACATCGAGTGGTGATTACCAATGCTGGAAATTTCAGGTAGATGTTGATGGCAAATGTTTCCAGATATTGTCGAACTGCAGGCAGGTTGTTTCTCTGAAGCAAACCAAACACACAAAACAGTGAACATCAACTTAACTTAAAAAAAAAAAAACGAATTTTAACTGAAGTAACCAACACTTGATAGTCAGCTAGGCGATTTCATATATTTGCCAGTACGATTTCTCCTGCATGAAATGTGCAGGTTGCGTAACTTCAGTCTGTTCTTCTAAACTTACATGTAAGCATATGTGCAAGTTCTCCATAACTTGGCCAACAATGTCTTTACTGACAAATCTTGACATAATGCATATCATCTGCCAAGCACGTATTTTCCTTCTATGGATCTGTTACAGATGAAACCACAATTGCAGTCATAATGGTTTGTGACTTGTAGTGATTTGAAAAGGTGTCCATGAAAGACTTAGTGAAGGAAAAAGAGAAGAAAGAAATGCAACACTTACAGCACTATACTTCTTGTAAAGCTCCTTTGCTAAGTCTTTATCATGCACCTGTGCCCAAAAAAAATGGATACGTTTCGAAAATATGATTAGTGCATATAATCAGTAGGTTGCCATGCATGCTAGCTAATTGTTCTAGCTATATTTGTGCAAACAATATGTACCGCTGCATCAAGAAGCTCCACTAGAAACAATTTTCCAGCCACAAGAGCATCCTGATAATCTTGATTTTGAGATGCTGGTTTGACCAAATAGGCCAAATTAGCCAGCTTCTCAAACAGACCAGCAACCGAGATACGTGCATACAACTCCGTATTGATAAAAACCTGAGGAAAAGTGCAGAACATGTCACTTTACTGACTCCAATAATTCAGCAAAGCTATTAATCCATCATCTGGTAAATTTGAATCTTACTTCTGTCAGTTCAGGGTCTGGGTTTTTTGCCAATAATGACACTTCAGTTCTTGCATCATTATTGTCAGATAATTCAGCTTCAAAATCCTCATCAAATGCAACTAAAAAATCATAAATCAAACGATAAGCAATTTAATATCACAAAGTAATTGCACTGACGACTTAATAGAAATAAAAGCTGCTACAGACCAGAACCATAGAGAGTCAGAAGCCTCAATTCTTTAATATAGTATTTTATCGTCCTAGGGTACATGAGCCATAGTCCTGTTAAGTGCAAGGCCGCGAGACGAATTGTGCGTGGACTTTTTTGACCTTCCTCAAGTACTTTTTCAACAAACTGAGAAACAAGACATAGCCAATAAACACACATTTTCTCTCTTGTTCCTTGAATTATTTATATTAAAAAGGATAGATGCATACCCACTTCAACGGACCATGTCCATCTTCAGCTATGTGCATATCTTTATTACTAAACAAAGAAGAATGCAACACAGAAGATAGAAGGGCAGCAATGGGTGCAACCCTCCTTTTCTTGCAGCTGATATGCAATATCCAGCATGATTTGACCAACTGCCACATCGTCTGCTTGCAAGGTATTAGTTATTTATAAGGATGAAGACAAAAAAAATTATCCAGTCTATAGAAAATATCATAACAAAACCTGAGTATCCACAACTGGGAAACCATCCAAAGATGATTTCCCAGACGCAAGTATCCCCAAAGCGAGCCTGACAGATTTCAGCATAGGCAAAGCAGAACCCTCCCCAGCATTTTCGAGGCTACCACAACGTAAAGGGAATATTAGAGGTTACAGAGAGACTAAAAGCATGTTTACATCCTAAGGCAAGCATCTGAAAGAAATTACAGCCCTTTCATCTGACATACTATTAGGTTGTAACTGATATCTACTAGAGTTAACACTCATAATAAAGTAAAAATATTTCAGGTACTTCTATTTGTATCTGCTCACAAGAATGAAAAAAATGCCATAGCGACTGGAAAAAAGAAGCAATTTAACCTTTCTACAATATCATGAAAGATGCTTTGGACCGTATCATCTGAGAAGAAAGACGTTCTATCCCCTGGAATACGTCTGGCATCAAGAATATGCATGACTGATAATAGAGACTCCACACAAAGCCACTGAATCAAGCACAAAAGGCCATTGATAAGAAGATCTTGTAATATGGATATTTCCCCGGTAAACAGCTATAGCTGTGTCAAATAATAATATGCATTACCTTCCAGCTAAGCAGAACTGCCCTTCTACTTCTTACCAGAAGTCCTGCTGTGAGAAGATGGTTAATGTTATTGAGGAAAGCTGGAACCGAAGCTTGTATCCAAAATTCACCATCTACCATGGTTAATAACGTATTGTCGTATTCTAGAAGGTTGAAAGCTCTAGCTGAGCACAAGGACACAAATGCGTTCAGTACCGAAGCTAGCGCTTCAAATGCTGCAAGATAGATCTCAGCAGCAGCCTGGTAAGATACATTCAAAGTAATTAGTACAGTGTGATTCCTTACATGATACAAGAAAATTCAGCAACACAGTTCATGCATCTTATTAAGTTTGAAAATTCGTCAAAACGGCATTACCTCAGAATTACAAATTTGAGATGATATGGTATGCTGGATGAACTTCCAAAAGAAAGCCAACGCTAATTTGAGTTCACCAACACCACTAGTGACTTGAGCACAGTATGACGAGATAAACCCAATAATTTTTACAGACGTTACCTGCTCATCATAAAACACTGGAATGAAACTTTTTCTATGCTGTAGACGTGTTACTACAAGGAATTGAGCTTTTGGAATTTTTTATGTAATCATCCTACAAAAAGAACAAGAAGAAAAGAAATCATACAGCTTCAAGTACAGCTGTTGTAGTAGGAACAGATAGCCGGCGTTGACTTGGACCCCCTAGTTTTCCTATGACAGAACCAGACAGAGCACCATTCTCCACAGTAGTGTGAGACCAGAATATCGAACAAGATGAATCAGCAAATGAAATCAGCTCCTTCTGTATTTTCAGGCCAAGGAAGAAACATCATAGTAAGCCAAGTTAATGAGAAGACAATTAATCATTGCCTATAAAGAAAACACTGAAGTGGTGGCACTATGTTTTCTGTTTACCAGTATCGATAGGAGAACAACAGCAAACTTTTCAATAATGCATGAAGAACTGACAACGATCTGCTTGCCAGTTTTCTCAACAGAGCCCATGCATGAGTTGCTTTTCACCGAAGAACTAAGCTCAGAAATTCCATCTTGCATGTTCTGGAGCTCTAAAAGCATACTCAGAATAAAGATTAAAAACTTAGCGGGTGCCTGTGCTAAATGGTTCTTCTCTTGGAAAAATTCAGCGCCACTATTTTGCACAAACTGCGGAATTACAAGGGATTGTCAAATTCGTAACAGATTACACCTAAAAGTTTCCAATGTGGAAAATAACTACCAGAGAATTTTAGCTGACAGGTCAAAATGAAAGTCAAGGAACACAAACCATTAAGATATCAGTGAGATGTTCTTCATCATTAATTACGAGGAAAAATACTCTTGCCCATCTTTTTGTTTGGGATTCCCATGCCTCCAAGTCTTCATCATCAAAACCTTCAACATGATCACTAACAAATCCTTTCAGATACTCATAAAGGCTCCCCAGAAGACGAGTGCCATCAGTACAAAAACTGTTAGAAGTCTTTCTGTTGCACCCTTGGAGCCATCCTAGCATCATTTTCCGCAATGAGCCTGAAATAGAAGAAAGCACATGATGTTAGACGATGACCTTCCATTTACTTTCCATATGTAAAAAGTCTTCTACTCACCATTACGGTCAGTAAACTCCCGAGGTATTGCTGAAACAAACTGCAATAGTGTTCCAAGAGGAACATGACAAAGGGTCACCACTGAAGCAGCAGTTTCCAACACTTTTTGATAAACTAGAAATAGAAGGGAAAAACAAACAATTCAAAGAATGAGTTTTAGTATGATTAATATTATGACCGAACACCCAAAATGACAATTCCACATACATATGATTAAATCTGACAAGCTACTGATAAGCGACCTCGAATTCGGTATTTATGATTAAAATGTTGTCTGCTGCTCTCTGCAACAAATTTCAAGACATCCAGTATATGTGCCATATCATCTTGGCTTAAATGTTCACTCGAAGGTTCATGGGGACTCCCGGAGAATATATCTTCGATATGCTCTGTTTCCTTGTTCCCGTTTCCTCCAACCACATATGCTGTAGAAACAATGCATTGTACGAGAGCCATAAATCCAGCCCTACCAAAAGACTGTTTCTTTGCAAGAGATGCCAGGTTGATCAAAAATCCAACCCGATTCCTATGAAATGAGTAAACAGTTAGACAAGCATAATGATAAATCTTTATGGTTTAATAATTCACAGACCCTCAAGAACATATCCAGCCGCACATGGCATATAACATATATACATAAAGTAGCAAAAAGAAACTCTAGCAAAACCATAAATAAGATGAAATAATAACTTGACGCACCCTACCTTGGGTTGAGGCAACTTGTGTACGCACACACAAATTGAGCTGCACCTTCTATTGTTCTTGATGTGTAGATTCCTTTCAGCCCTGAAAGGACAGAATAAACAAGGAATGATAAGAGTTAACGTTTCAGCAAGATGACAGTAAAACAATGCACCAGAAGAGTTCCAATACAGTTTATGAAAGACATTGGAGTACATTTCTCTAAGAAGCACCTACCAAAATCCTTGTGGTGTACAGAATCATTCAAAGCCTCTACGAAAGGCCCAAGAACGAAAGTTTGGGACATTGATTGTGTACATGTTTTGTGATTTTTCCACTCGATCCCCAAAAAAGATTCCATGACCGTGCACCTGACTACAATTATAAAAAGTTAGCAAAATATACTGATATGAAATGAGGTCTACATCAATCAAAATGTGTTGCCAGACATGAGTAAAAGAGAAGTTTGGCGGAAATGGGACAGATACTGAGTTTATGTGATGAGCAAGTGTAGAGAATTTTGAAATCTAATTACACAATATGTTCCACAAGCAAACAGTACCTAGAGGATTATCATGACGAAAGCCCCGATTCCAAAGAACCTCTAACCAATTAAATATTTCAGTTTCTTCATCTGGAGTTTCCATGTAACTTTGGTGAGACGATTTTATTAACAAATCAATCTGCGAGGTAAATTAAAAAAAGCAATGAGCATAGGAGACAAAGCATCAAGAGCAGAAAATGTAAATCACCAGAGAAATAAAAAACCTGACCTGGTTACTCCATGCTGCTTCTACAAGATGAGTGCCGTACTCTTCAAGCATCTCATACAAGAGCACAAAAGCCTGCCACTGCTGCTGACTAGTCAACCCAGAGTCAACAGAGCCATAAAATTCTCCCACACCGAGTGACTTGGCTTCCTTTTCCGCCCAGGTCTCCTTTTTTGTCATAGCACGATGAACTGAATTCTCTTCGGGCTTCTTCTTACTCACTTCACTTATGGATAAAATTGATTTGAGTATATGCAATGACTGCTTCCTCACTAAGCTCTCATCGACAACCTGAAAGGAAATTTTCTATACTCATTGATGATACTATTGTGGAAATTGGAGAATCTGTAAGAATAGAGGGTACTTTTGCCTTACCAAGCCTTTCTTGATTTCATCCCAAAACTCTTGTTCGGATCTCAAGTCAAATTCGACAGGATCTTTTTCTGAAACAAAACTTTCGGTGGTTCCGTCCGTCCAAGAGCCAGAAGAAAGACACAAAGAGAGGACACTGTAAGCATCCCTTCTCTCTATCGATCCAACAGAGAACAGCTTCTTGCAGCATTCCCAGATTCTTTTCTTGAAGCCATTCCTGGAGTTCACAGCTTTCAAAATCATATAAAAAGATAAAAGTAAAAACTTCTAAAAGCACATAACTTTTTTTGGTTCTTAGCCTCACCTTGAAAGTTTGTATATATTTCCATTATGTGATATATTCAGAGAGGACTGAAAAGAGAATGCCTTGAAAATAGCAGGGAGGAGGAAACTAACAGCACACGAACGATGCTCTACGCTTTGTGACAAAAGCCGCTCAGTCGTATTACACAAATTCCAAAGTATACCAACCGCAAAACTTTCCACATTTGGAGCTGCTTGGTTACTTTGAAACACAGCATTCAGTATCAAATTTAGGAGATGGCACGACAGGGGAATCGGAAATGATCCAGACAAAGACGCAATGTAGCTTTCATCCATATTAACTGTATTCAAAGAATCACGAAGTAACAGCTCGCCCCATTCGACGAAATCTGATTCACCGTGTCGAATCATTCCCATAGAAACACCAACTGATCTCAGTAAAAACGGCACCAAGCTCACTCCCAACGTATCCAATACACGAGTCTCGATCACTACATCAAAGAACGATTCTACAATCTGATACAACCAAACAAAAGAAATCTTGTGAAAAATAAAACGACAATCAATAAGCTCGAGAAGAAGATGTGACACTGAAGATTTTATTTATACCTTATTAAGCATATCCAAATCATACGCACGAACCATCTTCATAAGTGGAATAAACACTCTCCACACAAATAACTGTAACGCATTATGATTATCCTCACTACCAAAACCTGCTTCAAAAACACCTCAATGAATCAAATTTCTTCGAATCTCGAAACACACACAAATACAAAAGATTCAAATTCCAACACTCACCAAAATTCTTTAGTAGATGAGAAAGCCCAGAAACCAATGAAGCAATGTGAAAGCATTCATCAGAATCGAATTTCTTCTCCACATTTATCGTTTTCTATTAAAAAAAGAGCCAATTTTCAAATCCAAAACCAAAAACCCACGAAAGTAGATGAAACAAATCAATTAATCAAATACCTCGAAACGAATCGGAAATTCGTCGATGAGTGATTCGAAGAGGGTCGAGGGAGATACGCTTGTAGAGCTTAAAACACAGTCGAGAAAAGCAGGAACAGCTGTTGGAGGAACTTGTTTGAAGCTAGACGACAATGAAATAATCAAAGACGAATCCATTTCAATTTCAAGCTCGAAACTTCAAAACAATGACAAAAAAGCTCATGAATTTGAAGCTACTTCAGAGAAAAATCCCTCTCTTATTCAAATTATTTTCATGGCTAAGTACAGATAAACCCTAGTCGTATGGTAAGAGGAAAAACAGAATTTGCAAATCTGCCCTTATACTTCTTTTACTTTTCATGTATAGCCTAATACTATTACTGATTCGGCTTCAATTTGTATAGTTGGGCCTCGCTTTATTGGGCCGGAGGATGATATGAACGAGAGGAAAAAACCAAAATAATATCCGGTTTAGTTTCGGGGTTTTTGAATGGAACACGCAACCTTCTGATCTGGAGTCAGACGCGCTACCATTGCGCCACGGATCCGGATAATTAATTCTATACTTCTTTTTATTTATCATGAATTTTATACTTTGTTTTAGGTTACCAAATAATTTCCAAATGTACTTATGAATTACTTAGAAAAATAATACAACAAAAAAAAAATTGATAATTTCATAAAACATCAATTGTGCAACTAATTAAATAGCACGAGTCGTAATTCAATAAAACAAAGTTTGGTAAAACGATATCAATATATATTAGCACTAGTTGGTGTGTCTTAAGCAATGGTAATTTTTGACATTGGTTTTGAGGCAACGACCACCATTAGTTATTTGATTCATTTCAAATTTGCATTAATACTCCAAGCGAACCACTCCTAAATGTACGAAAATATTACAAAAAAAGTTGATAATTTCATTAAAGCATAAATTATGCAGCCCTAACTAAATAGCACAGGTCGTAATACAATAAAATATATAGAAGGTTTGGTGTTGGTAAAACGACCAATAGTAGGCAGCGCTAGTTGGTCTAGGGTTCAACTTTGAATTTGGTCGGGATGATACGACCACCACGAGTTACATTGAATCTTGCCACAACGCGGTTTAGAATAATAACAAAACAACGTTCACAACCTCTAAAGTTAGTGAGGTTGTAGAATTCCGATCTGTCTTTAGCCATCATAACCTCAAGATTCCATCCTCCCAATGAACTTCCAGAGAGCTTTAAGGCCTTCTCTACACTACTACTTCGCATATCAACGAACGCATATCCTATGGTAGCACCGGTTTTACACTCTGTGGGAACATAAACCCTAGTGACTTTTCCACATGTACCGAAATGTGTCCTCAATGCGGTCTTGATATCATCCCTAGCAAGGGAAGGGTCAAATCCTTTGACGAAAATGGTATCCTCCATGCTGTTGAGTACAGCCGACTCTTTACTTTCATGACAGCACTCATATTTCTCCTCTGGGGTGGTTCCTTTTTCCTATGAGATATCAGATCAGCATAAGGGTATCAAAGTAGATGAGCTATCAAGTGTAAAGTATCTCGTTTCTTAACCGACAGTACATATATATATATGCAACAGCTATAAACAAACTATCCTTGTATCCACAATAAAACTCCAAAAATCCAAAGAAAACTACAACATTTGCACTTAACTATAACCAGAAGAAGAAGTTATATAGCATTCTCCCAGACGATCCTAAATCAAAAGCATAGCATTCTCTTATATCCTTGTATACGACGATGTTATAGATAGAAACATACCTTGAAGGGTAGACCGGCCTGTACTAGTGAAGTCTCCGGTAGTTTTTTCACAGTTTCAGTCAAAGATTTCCTCACTTTTTTCATTTCCTGCCATTCCAAAATCATTGCAGCAAAACCAAATGAATCCCAAGTGAAAGTTTTCATTTTTCATAACCAACCTAGCAGTATATAGCAGTTAAGCAAAAGGTGAATAATTTCGAGACAGAATCATAACTAATAGCAGCTAAGCAAAAGGCATCATCAGAATCTGACCTTTATCTCAGGAGTCATCTTCTGCTTCTTACGCTTTGGTTTTGTGGTTGTTTGGTCTCGATACTCTACTTGGTTC